TTTTGTGTAACACTCCGTTTTATTTATTTTAAAATAATATCCATGAAAAGGTTTATCTAATCACCGACGTAGCCAGCGCAATAAGCGATCCCGTAAATCGCAAAATCTGTTCAGTAAATAAATATATAGAATTTAGAATCTAATCAATGTATAAAATACTCAATGGTTAGCCTACCGAAGTCAGAGTCTCTAGCGAAGGCGAAAAGAACGGTACTTTGACAATCAGCACGCGTTGAGATCTCGCTATCATAAACAACGTCATCTTTTGCACACGAGCGCTGTGGCAATACCATTGGCTGGCAAAGGTGCTTCTAGCCAGATCTAAGCACTAGTGAAAAGAACATAATTTATATAAAAATATAATAGTATGGATTTAAAATATATATAAGACATACTAATATATATTTTTAAAAATTGTACTTTAATTGAAAATAGATTTAAAAAATAGATTTAAAAAAATTAAAACATTTATTTTTGCATTATTGTATGTTGTTTAGTTCAATTAAACTCCACAATATATATTATACACCATAGAAAATATTCAGGAATACGCACCGCCTCCGTAATAAAAGTACCGCCCAAGCAGTATAGAAAAACTTCCATTACCACAGCACAGGTGTACACTAAATAGACAATAATGCCAGCACCCGAGAACTGATCAAGAGAGAGAAGTAAGAGATATGTGATATATGAATGTGCTCTCAACTCCTATGCTCTCAACTCACCAGCAACATGTCAACCACACTGCTACCTATAATCAAGCTTGAGGTTACAAAGTGACCCAGCGTTATCTCAACCATAACTCCGGACAAGCGTTCCGTCAGTACGGCAATCTCATTATGACGGTCGACTAGGCGCTCCAATTTGCGCACAATGCGCTCATCCTTCCAAGCCGAAGGCTCCGTTTTGATGCTCTTTACGGCAAGCAAATCGACAACATCATCACGCAACGAATTAAGCAGCACACTTAGATATAGACAGAAGCCGAGAAAGAAGCCATCGGCGCCCACGAAACATGCGACGGTAATGTAGCCATGCCAATGGACCAGCGCATAGATGAGCGGGTAGAGCGGCAGACGTAGCAACGGCTCAGGAAAGCTTAAGCAACACGAGAAGAATAGGAACAAATGAAAGTAGATAAATAAAATATTTACAATGGAACCATTAAGGATAATTGGAGTACACTCACATCATTTTGAACGGCGTCTCATAGATCCAATCCAAGCCATGCGCACGCCTTAGCATATTATCCAGCAGATGGCGAACCGAGTACGAGGTGCTGGTGCAGAAGCCGCAGCAAAGGAGAAAAAATGTCAGCCGCGTAGCCAGCGTATAGCACCTCCGCTTGTACTCCAACTTTCGGTCCGATTGCTGCTGTTCGGTTAGTTTTCGCACCCGCTCTATGAGAAACTTGAGCTCATCGCGATAGTACCAAAGGGCACTCATTTTGAGCAGCGACAAAATGCTCGATGCAACTGGACAGAGGGCATCCATGGCTAGTACAATATTATTGGGTATCTGGAGGATGCCATAGGCCGCCTCCGCGTAGCAGCCATAGGCGAGTATGAAGAAATTGAAGAAACTCCAGGCACGCACCGGGCAGCTCCTCTCCTGCTCCGGATAGAAACCAATCAAGGTCAATGCAAATTTCGGAATCAGAAAGTAATGACGATTCATTGGAAACGAACGGGTCAGAAAGCGAGGCCACATCTTCGCAAGGCGGCCAACTGTCGACTTTGTGGAGGCATCAAGTTCAATCCTTTGCTTTTATAGCCTGTCCAATCGTTGCGCCCATAATTGATGAGTTGGGCGTTGTTCTTGCTAACAGTTCACCAGGTTTTCCACGAAAGCCAAGGAAAAAGTATTATTATAACCCGCAATTAGACAATTAGGCGTGTATTAAGTTCGTGATTGTAAATAATAAGCAGTTATTAAATGGGCCCTTAAGAGAGTTGAAGTTTACTAAAATTATTTCGTGGGGCATGTCGAATAGACTGGCTTAAAATTCAGCATACAAATTTTACTTTGAAAATATTTTAAAATCCAATTTCATGCCACAAGTCACAAAAATTTGCCTTTAACGATTTTCAATTGAAATTGATTGCGATCAACAGCTCATTATATTTGGCTTTCGATCCCTTTCTCTTTTTCTTCAATAATGCCGAAATTTGATTGGCTCAAAACCACTATTTGTAGTCGACCCCATTTTATTTTCAGTCTTAGATCAGCTTCTTTTTCACTCCAACAAAAAATTAAGTTGCCACCGCAACCGCCGCCATTTGATTGGCTATTACAATTAGCACGCTCATTCCCTCACACTCAAGCTAGCTCGTTTGCACACATATGCAAAATGCAGGCCTAAGGAAAGCTTTGTGTACAAATGTAAATGCAAATCAATGAGAGCTCTGTATTTGTGCATTTTATTTTAATTTACTATAGTGTATGTCTTTGCATGTATTACCGAGATGTTTGTATTGTGTGTGAATGTAATATAGCTGACTAGTTTCTAATGCCCAATATTGATGTCAATATTAATATTAATTTGCCTGACTTACAACTAAAGGGAGCTCACCAGTGATGAATATAGCTGTACCCTTCTCGCCCCTTTGTTGACCTATTCCAACCAGTTCTCTTTGCCATTGCTTATTATGATATATTTGCTAGAGTGAGCAAACAAAATGAACCCAGCACAAATATTCGGACAGCTGAGACTTGGGTAAGTCTATGGCTGCAGCTCAATTGCAAGTGTTGCCAACCCAACTTGCAGTTTGAATAAATATTTTATAAGCTCTGCATGGTCATGTGTGTGTGTGTGCGTATGTTGTCGTGATTATGCAAGCTGCACTTATTTGGCGTTGTATGTGAGAAGGCCAATAAATTAATTTGGCCAGCTCCCCATGGCTAACTGAATGAGTCGCATAACTGAAGAGAGGCCGGCGAGGCGGTGCTGGGCGTAGCCGGCATTAACGATGGCGTTGACGGCGCCTCCTGCTGTTTGCCAGGTGCCAGGATGCCAGTTGAACCAAAAGCCACAGCCCATAGACGAGTCCTGCCCAGCTCTGGCCGTAGCTTCATAGCTGCTCTTTGCATAATTGATGGCTGCAGGTGTATTTGCGCTCAAATGAGGCATGCTAAACACATGCCTTTGACACTTATATACACACACAGCACACACAAATATACATACATATACACATACACGTACGCCAACCTACTCATATGGCAATAAAACTAAAGCTTAGCCGTGCCACATTGTTAACCAAATAAAAAGAACTGCAAATTTCGTGCGCGCCTGTGTGTGTGGGCGTGTGTGTATTGGTGTTGAGATTTCGAGTCTAAGCGATAAATATAAATAAAACGGCATAGACGACATAAACAGAGGCCTTGCTGGCCACGAATACATAATAAATAAGAAAATACTCAACATATATGACTAAATCTATATAATAATTATGAATGGAGAGGTTTATCTACTAATAGAAAGAGGAATACTCAAGGAAACCATATAATGCCTCAATTTTCAAAATAAGCTATTATTAGATTTCATATATGAAAGCGGCATAAAGGAAGGGAAATGCAAAATGCTTCTACTCTTGTAGCTGTATTAGTGACAGGCTGAGATCTTATATGCAACCGAATGAGCTTTCCAATTGCACACTTCTCATTTCAGGCTTTTATGCGCAACTACTCCGAGATGGACAGAGACAAATATAGCTTTTGCTGAACGTAGTCCCTACTGATGCAGTGTGGGAGCGAGATGGCTAGTCTTAGGCTTTTTCATTGGACTAAGAGTTAGCCATCGAATGAAATAAAGAGTCCAAAAAGAGCAAGCTGAAAGACAGACTAAAATTATATAATATGTAATCTAGTAACCAAAGAGAAAGATTTAAGAAAAACAAAATAAAACTTAGTTTATTTCCAAATTAATGGAAATAAAATGGAACTCTTCAAACTATAGAATATTTTATATGCATAACAATAGATCTCTTAACCATATTTTGCCCGAAACCCCAAACCTAAGCCTAGATCATTAATACACTCAACGGCGGCCCGAGCAGAGCAACCTATAAAGGTCTCCTTTTTTTGTGGTGCACGTTTCGGCAATGCGCGTTCGCCTATACAAATTGAAAAATTTACGTGGAAAACATGCAAATTTATGCCATAAACACAATGAGTTTAATGTGCCCAAAGGCAGGGACAGCGACAGCAACAAAAACGTGGGGGAAATTGAGAAAATTATGTAGAATAAAAAGAGCCAACTTATGTCCTCGCAGCGACAGCCACATTGATGACTCGATTTGTGGCACAAAGCTAAAAAAGAACAAGAAGAAAAACCATGCAAGATTTTTGAAGTTGGGCAGCAACGATTGCCTAATGCTCGCTTACGATCTTGATGATAATTTTAATTTATTTCTAAAAAGAGAGGGATCAACTGTGTAATACAATACCTCTAGAGACTAACCTTCTGACTCTACAATTTATTCTGAGCTATCATATTCCCTTGTGAAATTTGGAAATATATCTATAAAGCCCATATACTCTCGTTTTCACTCCATCAATGAGCATATACACAATGGGCGTAACTTTTTGCCTTTTGTGTGTGTATGTATGGGTGTGCGACCCATGCAACAAATCGTGACAAAAATTATTGACAAAATTATTGAGAGGGCGTTGACGACAAATCAGGCACAGCGAGTGAAATGTCCATCAAACGGTTGTTGCCCACCTACGCCACACACAGACACACACACACAAACACGCCCATCAACATACCAGCACACACATCATAGCTCACCTGAAAAGGTAGCACACGAAAAACTAAACTCTTTTGTTCGCCACAAAACGAGCGCACAATGGGCGTGGGCGCGGCCATGTGTTTAGGGCGGGCCACGGCCTGACATGTAGTTGAAAAGTTTATGAATTTATAATTAAATATTAAACAAAGTTATTTGCTCAATGAATAAGCCGAACCAAAAAGCTCGGGATTATAGTATTATATGTACAATAATTTATGCGGCTTATGAAGCTAGCTAAATCATAATAAAAACATATTTGATTATTATTTATTGTAGTGAGCAAAGCATTAAATGGGTTGAATTTTTATTGATCGGACTGGTATTTGGATTTAATTTGGAATTGAGCTATGTAAGTCATAAAATTGAAGTATTTTAGTTGAATTGAATGAACAATATGAATGAACATATGCACTTATAGGAATAAAATAAATCTCTATGAGAACTGGTCAAAAAGTCTTCAAGCATGAACATGCGTAAGCTCCGATAATCCATCATCTCACAAACACAGCTCCAAGCTATAGAAATGTTATTAATTTTCTGAAGCAATAAAATCATCTTAGACGATAAGGCGATATCCTAAAGATGGGCTTATAAAGTAAAACTGGTTAAGCAGATAAACAAGAATCATCCTATAAGTTTAAGCACTGCGAAGATTCTCATAGATAATATATATAATTAGAATAAATCTTGGTTTAGGTGAGTTCTGCAGGGTTATTTCAATACTAAGTTCCGGTAACACATGCCATTGAATATTTCAGTAACTTCATATAATCGATAACTTAAAGAGCTATCGACTATAAGACCTGTCAGAAATGTTCTGAAATTTCCAAATAATATTTGATATATGAAATGTATGTAAATAAATTTAAACTTAGCGGTATATACGACGTAAAGCTCAAAATGAATTTCAACTATTTTTGGTATAAATAATTTGTAAATTTTCAGCAATTTGTGCTATGGCAAATGTGCGAGACGACAAATATATATGTATGTATATATATATATATATGCAAATTATTTGCCATCAAATATTTGGGGAAATATTTCAAAAGATATTTCGAATGCAATATTTTTGGACCGAAAACAGGTTTCAAATCGCAATGCAAAATTCATTTTTGATGGCATGCAATTTGTCGAGTGTGTGTAAGTGTGTGTGTCGGTATGTAAGTGTATGTGTGAGCTAATTTGCTTATGCTTTAGTAGGGGTAATATGTCACACACGCACACACCCACACACACACACGTGCATAGAAGTGTGCGTGGCTATCAAATTTATTGTCTGTCCTGGCTTTCGCCTCTCAACCTGCCACGCCCATCAATAAAACAAACAAGGCAAAATGATGCCGAGCGCCAAGCTGAATGCATTTGCGCGCGCCTTTGTCCCACGATAAACTTAATTTGAATAATAAATTACGTTGATATTTAATCAGCGCGTCGCACAGCGATAAAATGCAATGGGCGCTACCAGAGAGAGAGAGAGAGAACGGGACCGAGACAGATGGGGGAAAGAGATGTCTATATAATATATACATATACATATAATGTGTCATGCAGCCGATAATGTTTAAGCTGCTTGGCTGTCTGAATGGCTACGCCCACCTGATTGAACAGCCTCCTTCCCCTTACCCCGCCCCTCCCCCCTCACACTCTCAGCTCATTGCATGTGTCCGGCACGCCACGCCACGGCATGGCACGGCATGGCATATCCATAAACTGCATAAAGTCATTAACGTTAAGCGGAATTTGTGTTAATCAGATAACAAAATTATGAACAATTAAGTCATTGCATGCGAATTGAAAATTTAAAGCACCCGCCAAGCAACATTAATGACTGCCATAAACAATGCATACATATATACGTATGTATATGTATGACCGACTTTATGATAGGCTGTGGCATGGGGCAGCTAGCGG